GAAACATTGTAATTTGCGTTGTTCGATTAATAGTACAAGATCGATTTACAAGTGGCGAACGTGTAGTACTACATATGTACACATATATATTGTATACACATATGTATGATGATAATGTTTTTTTATTAAAGTTCCTCAAAGTCTCCGAATTCTCTTTGACAGATTCGAATAATTATCTAGATTTGATATGTATGTACGGGTTCTTGACTGTATAATGTGTACACACACATATAAATCCAATAGTTTACATCAATATTTGCAGAGAAAGAGAGAGAGAGAAATAATAGATTAAAACAATAAGTCTTAAAACTACAAAACTATATATATGTATATATCATATAAATGATCATAGCACTTGTTAAATGTAAAGAAGTAGGTTTATGAAAAACACAGAATACCGAGAATGCGAAAGCAACGAGTGAAGTTAAAGGTGAAGTGAAAAATTCAGAGAAATCTTGAAATACACGAAGAGAAGGTCTCGCTCTATTTCCGCAGCTAACTAGCGGTAATTATCAACACACACGTTCCAATTTTTTTAACAATTTGTTACAAGATATACATCTTGTGAAAACAATGTTTTCTGTAACAAATGTCACCAAAAGCACAAATATATACATAAATGCAATATATAAAGCAAAATATTTAAACTTGTTTTTCCACGACCATATTATCATTCCTAAAATAGAAAGCGACGAACTTATATGGCGCAAAAGCGCACTCGTTTCTTGTTTCTTGTTTCTTTCACACTCCCTCGTACTACTGCTCTCGCACAAGCGGCTAAACTAGGCTTATTCACGGACTAATATTAGAACAATGATATGTGATTTTGCGCATACGTATATGTTGCGAATAAAATTTTAAAGAAACCAGACAAAATAATTCTCACTTTACATACGTGTTCAGATGTATGAGTTAAAAATTATAAAAGTAACAGCTTCGTATAAACAAGCACATGTACGCAAAAGTTACATATATATAAAGACACATCCGATGTTGCGTGCGGTTTTCAAATCATATGTGTACACAGATAAATAAAATATTGAAAATACAGAAAAATAAATTTTTGCGCACAAATACACAGAAATATAGAATATAGAATTTATTAAAACTTTTCTATTGAATAAAGACGTTTTTTTTTGCTTTAGATTTCAGATAATAATTGTGCGAATTAAAAAAGTAATTGATTTAAAATTATTTCCTAGAACCAAAACTATTTTCTTATTACTGCGTATCATTGTTAAGTTGATCACGCACGAAACTGAGAACACCTTCAAAGTGTACATAATAGAATGAGTGCCTCTGATGTCAGGAAGGGTGTATAACTATGGTACACTATTACATGATGTGTTCGTATAGGTTGTTATATACTAAAACTTGTCTCCATAGAACTAGCACAGATGTTTCGTATCTTTTTCTCTCAGTTAGTCTGTAGGCTCTCATCCCTTATACATTGGCCTGTCCCCTTTTTCCTTCCATCTCGGCAGCGCATCGACCCTTCCTGCTTATAGACGCAAATCCTACGTGCCCTTTTAAAAAGAACGCTGAGATATAGAATTCAAATATCACATTGCGTGTACGCGGTCGTTGAAAACATTACTACTCGTGATAAACTTCCACTGATTTCGATCTATTTAATATTTGATTAACGGCAGCGTACTTATTTTTAATAAAAATATCTGATAGCACAGATATCAAATAGTATGCAGAAAAACAAAATATATTCTCTCCGATTCTGTCTTGTTTTTTATTTTTACTTTTATTTTCAACAAACTTTGTACTAACTAAAAATGAATTGCGACAGTTTTTTCGTTCAAAGTTTTTTTCCAAATTAACATAAACAAAGACATAAACAATCGATCCGACATATGTGTGCAAGAATTAAAAAAAATAAATAATATAAATTTCTTCCTGCCCCTTTGAATTTTTAATTTTCACGTGTGACTTTTAATACAATGAATAGTGTGAATAAAATAATTTCTATTTTAATGTGTGTGAACTGTATAACAACTTTAGTGAGAACTCTTTTGGAAACTTTCTCCTAACTCGCTTAACTTTTAGTGTGTCATGAAAAAAGAAATTTATTACTAATTCACTATTAATGTGATCGCAAATTGAATTCCATAAAAACTAAATAAGTCATTTCTAAAGAACTTCTTTGTAAGTGTTATATAACATAAGAAATCGAATGTATGTACTTAAAGATAAGAGTTGAATATATATTTCCTAAAAAAAAACTACTAAAAAAAAAAAATTCCAACAGTACCATTTGATTTGTCTAAAAAATTTTTTTTCTTCTTAGAAAAGAAAGAAAAAGGTCCCTTTTCTTTCGTCTTTTGTGTAGTATTCTTCAAAAAACC